ATAATCACTCTTTTTTTTGACCTCGCTATTATAAAACTTATAAATTTTGACCTTTATATAGTCACAACGTTTTATAATCACCAAAATTGTGTTTCCCAACCTAGTGATTATATCGAGGTCTGACTGTAATACACATTCCGCACAGGATTACGCGCGGATCACACGCTGTTCATAAAAGCCATTAACTTCATGTAGCTGAAAAGAAAGACAGGAAAGAATAATAATTATAAAGACCGCCTAACAGCAAACCCGGTGATCCTAGTGACAGTCTTGGTTCTTGGTTGAGTAGCCTTGTTTTAGACCAAGATAACAAGTCATTCTGAACCCACCCTTTCACAATGTACCTACAATCACAAATACTGGGAGTCAGATCTATTATAATTCCAGCGCATTATTCTACATAGCTCATAGGATTTATTGCATTGTGTAATACAATAATAAAAGAAAACTCGAAGCTACATTTTTGATATTTATACTAGGCTAAAGGAAACAATTAAAAGTCCGAAGGACTATGTCATACGTGACAAACATAATGAACAACCACAAGAATTTACAAAACAGTCATCTGTGACCCTTTTATTCAACAGAATAGTTGTTCGGACAATTAAAATATAAAAAACGGAATTTCAAATAAATGGACAGATCACAATTTTTTTAGAAATAGCACTGGATATATAGAAACGGTAAAAGAAATACATGATTTAAATAAATTTATTGCTGTTTTTTTCGAGAGAACCAAATAACTGCACTTATCAATAAAGCAATCCATGCAATAACATATGGTAAATAATACGGATAGATTGCTACATCATATTTAATGTACGGAGGCGGAAAAAATGATGCTACGATAATACAAACTATGCAAAAAAAGGAAATCCCAACAAGTATTAAAGGTGTTTTAAAATTTTCATATTGGGCTTCTTTTTGATCTTCCTTTAGGACCTGAAAATTATTAAGATAGATTTATCAGATTAAATAATACACTGTTAAATAATTAAATTGAATCATAACTTACAAATAAGCAAATAGCACTTGCTCCATAAAAGACTACTGCTAAATATGCTGACATACTGGAAAAAAATGAGAAAAGACTTTTTCCTTCTGGGAAAAAAATGATCAAGACTGAACAATAAAGAAATTGTACAGCTAAAGCATTAGATGGAGTATCAAATTTTTTGTGCCATTTATATAAGCTATTGGAGAATTTTGGTATAAATTCGGTTCGGGCTGCATAATTTATAACTCGAGAGCCCCTATTTAAAACAAAAATTAGTCGTTTTTATAAATATATTAAATATTTAAGATTTTAAATTTTAATAACCTTACATAAAAACCATTGAACCTACACATCCAAAAGCAGAAATTGAGACAATTAAGTATATAAGTGTTTTTCCTGGTTCACCAAAAGTGCGTCCAAAAGATACAATCATAGTATCATTAGAGTTAATAGCATTATGATCGATTGCTGATATATAAGCTGCATTAGTTAAAATATCTGTCAAAATAGGTATGGTATTAATAATATTAAAATACAATGAATGAAATCTATTTAAAAAAAATATGTATAGAAAAAAACCCACAAAGTATTAAACAAATGATCACACTAAAAATGGTTGAATATTTCATGCTCCTATCTGGTTTATTCAATTCTTCAGTTGAATCTAAAAAAATTTCACAAATTAAGTTTATGTTTATTTTGATATTAATAATTTAATAACTTGACTTACAATTTAAATTATTCCATCCTTCGAATGTAACGTGTATAAAAAAAGTATATAATTAATAACAAACATCATCAAATAGTTTAGTGCTCAAAATTTATTACATACCATTATATGAAAATATGACCTATATTTAAAATTTTACAAGTTTTAAATCAAAAATTTTAGAATACGTGTACCATATAAGACAAATACAGTACGTTACCTTTAGCATAGCGTTACCATAACTTCCAATCTGTTCTAAAACAGATCGTTGGGGTTCATCATCTATTGGTGTATTATTAAAAATTCCCATCCACTTATCTTTAAATCCAGATTCACGTAACTTTGCCAATCCAATTAATGAAATAATAAGTAAGGCAAGAAATTTGATTAATGCTAACGCTTTATTAATGTTGATTGCCAATTTATTAGAATATATATGGTATAGTGTGATGATTAACAAGAGTGCTACTGCCAAAGCACGTAATTTTCTAATAAATGCAAAATAATATTAAAATTTACTACTATATAAATGATTCAAAGCAAAAAAAGTTGACTTACCCAAAGTCTTGACCAAAGTATATATTTTGATCTCCTTCATTTTCATTTCTTTGAATAGCGAAAAGAAGGTATTCAGCGGATACATAAGTATCAGCGATAATACTCCCAGGAAGGATTATCCTTAACGAAGTAAACTAATGTTACCCAATCGATAATATGGTAGGTTTAAAATTGCTAGCTTATTTACACACATACGTACGTGATCATGACAAAAGTGAATATGTGCCCGAAATTTGGAAACTTTTTAAATGTTTCGTCAAGATATTTTTGCTCCCCTGATCCACTAGGAAACCTAGTTCCCAACTATTAGGTTGAAATAAAAGGGTTAATTAAGATATTAAATAATAACGATTATATATCGCGCATTAAGATTTTCCAATTTTAATAATACAATAATCAGTGAGATAATCATCGAGTTAATAAGTTGGCTTGGTAAAATTATTTTAAGCAAAGGTTTAAAATTAATGATTAACAATTTACCTCAACATAAATTAGGCTACAAAATAAACTCACAAATCCACCAGCAAGCCAAAACATTAAGGCAGTTCCTGGTGATTGAACTAGCCTCCATACTCTGCTAGGGTTTACAAATATTGCTTTTTTTTTAAAATAAAAGAGAACAATCAGCTTTATCGCATAAATTTTAATGATAATAAAATTTGAAAAAAAACTAACCAGCACCAATTACATTGTTTATATTAAATCCTAACCCAGAAATTGTATCTAAAATTTTTTCTCTAATTGTTACTTGTCCTTGTGTATTTTCTTGCTCCGGCATGTCTATTCCCACATCAGGATTATTTTGTCTATTATCATTATTGTAATCTTCCATGTCTAATGAGTCGTTTTAACGTGTAGTCGTTATTAAATTAAGATAGTAAACTTCAGCGTTTTATTCAACAGTAGACGATAGGCAAAAGTTTTGTACTATAGTCGTGCATGAATATTAATCTTGTGGTAATCCTCTTGCACAAATGAAAATGCTTTCTTCGAGAATGTACACATGAATATCGAGTTTAACTAAGCGGTTAAATACTGTAATTCTAGAACTGCGGTTAATTAACGTATGTATTATTATTGGTCACTTTGCAAATTACATATTATTCTTTCAGAATACTAATTACGTACAAACTCCGACAAATATATCAAAAGGTAACATTTATATATGCTTAATAATCAGTTATGTTAGATACCTTGATATAAAATGTCAGATCTTATGCGAAATTGATTGTTAAATTTAATACGATGCAGTAATTATTTACAAGGTTTTTTTTTTTTTTTTACCGTAGAACCATTTGAATAAATTAAAAATAAAAACTAGAAAATTCAATAGTCAAATTTGTAACACTTGAAAATGCCACAATTTCAAATGAATGGAAAAAGGTTAAAGTACAAAGAGCAAATCGATTCTTCGTATTTTCTTTTCCACTAATGAATTCATTATGAAAATCGTAATTTATCTGAATTTTATTATCGAGTATATTTAGAGATCTAAATCTTAATAAATTATTATTGAGACGATTTGCTATTCTGACAACTATTATCGAATCATTAATACTGTAATCACTTCACCAGCATCTATTAACATTGGCTTCTTGGGATACAAGTTATATGGTCTAATATTTGCCTTTTTATTTTAATCAGTTGCTTTATTTCCTATGACCATGATCACAATTTATCCTAACTTATAACTTTAGACGCACATTGTTTAGTTTCAAAGGAATATCATTTTTCTATTTAATTTTCTATAATAAGACGTATCGGTATAATTTAAATTGAATTACTAACGGATTTAAATCACGTGACAATGTAATATATCATTTTTGTACTAAGAATAAAGACGTCTTTAAATATCTTGATCTAAAAATCAATCAAACCAGCTAAAAATAGAAATAGAAATATTGGTTAACATCATATGAGGAAAATTAATGTTATCTGATTGCAGGAATAAACATTCACTAAATTAGTTCCATTATAATACCGTAATGATAAAAATGTGTTTTCAGAATAATGCGCATGAGCATGTATGCATGTCGTCCCACCTGGAGTGACAATTCCAGGGCTTGAAGTTTTCTCGACTAAATTAAAATTTGGTGAACTAAATACACCAAATACATAGCTATTGACTCCGGCATATGCATAATTTCAATTTATCATATTCGTATTAAACAATATTACGTATTTCTTATAGAAAAAGAACTGAAAAATTATACTAATTAATGCATTTGTATTATGAGTCTTGCTGAAGCTAATACAGATATGAAGAATCATTCATTCACAAATTTAGCCAATATAATTACATCTAGAAACCATGTTTGCATTAGGAAATAACTACAAAGCCAGCCAAATAATGGCATATACAAATTTAACATTTTATTAAATGATCGTGATGTCAATTGTGAATTTAACTAAATCGGAACTAGTAAAACTATTACGCCCTAGCAAGATACGTATAGTATTGTGTTGTTCTAAGAAAAAATATTTTAGGCAATTTAATTAATTTACTGTACGTACGTGGAAGCCTGACAAAAATTATTACATAATAAAGGTATTTATAAAACTATCTATGCTCTTTAATAATTAGGTTCATTTACTCATTTTGCTTTCTTCTATTCTTATTGGCAGAGTCATTCATTTTCTCGGTTTAAGCCCTATTTCCTTTTACATTAAATTCATTTATGCATTGCACAAAATCACGCCATACAATCACTGCCACGACCTTTGGAAATATTTATTTTGGCGAGTGATACAAGCCTTACAAATAGAGATGTGAAAAGTCCGGTCCTCGACTCCGAGTCAGACTTTGGACAAATCTGTCATGCGGTATTCAAATATTGTATTTATTGGACTTGGCGGCATCATGTGATATTACAAATTTCACATGACAGATTAGGCGAGACCAATTTGATTCTGTGTTTTACGCCCGTTTTTATATAGTCGCGGAACAATTCGGAACAATTTTTTTTGAAAATTTTACTATGTAAACCACACAAATTCTCCTCTCTCCCCTCCCTCTCTTCTGGAGGGGAGAGGGGACGTAAAACACGATTACGATTTTAAATTAAAATCCCGAACAGATTATCGAAGAACATAATACTAACCAAATGGCCAGCATTATAGCTAGTGCTGGCTGATGTGTCAGTAGTATTTCCTTTCGGGAATTTGTTTTTCAGGATTTTGACCTAAATTCCGTAAAACTCAGAATCCAGTTGGTCTCGTTTTACTCGGAGTCGAGTCGGGACCTGGCCGATTTTTCACATCCTCGTCTGTAAACTCCAAAAAAGGTGAAATTTAGTATAAAAATAAAGATTCTTGGTTTGAATATTGAATTCGGATGGATCAGAGTATTATAATTATAAATTTGTAAGAATAAATCATATTTATACGAGATTATGCTAATCATTACAGCATTATTGCTATATTAAAGTCAATTTGCATTATTTACTATTTGATAAATAAATATTTTTAGTACTGGTAATTGTATAAATCTGCTAAAATGCTTGTCTGAAGGACACTACAGGCGGAGCAACGTTAGACCTGACATCTGTGTATTAACAAATCTTTGTTAATTTGATGATTGGAAAATAAATAATTACGTTCATAAAGGTTGATTAAAATGTATTTTCTTAGTATAATATTGGAAATTTATTGATGAAGAAAGCAGAAATTATTATTGTCGTATTTGCATGTGATTCGCACACATTTGAAATCAAAATAACGCGCCCCTCTATATTTGACCTAATTGGATTAATTGGATTGACATATATAGCTAATATTATATAATTGTTACCAAATTTTTACTTATATTAGATATCTGATATAAAAATGATTCAAAATACCACACATGTGCATCCTAAATAACACGGTAATAATTCAGTATTTTAAGACATACATTCACTTAGTGAATATAATAGCTTCATAAATTAGAAAGATAAAAATGTAAAAAAAAAAATAAAAATGTTAATTATGCAATAACTGTTCACTCAACATTTGACTTGGATTGCTTTTTCATGATCTTAGCCATGACACGTTCCTGAGCATCATGGCAATTATAATTATTTTCTATGGCTTTCTTGTACCAATACGACGCCTGTTTCAAGTCTTCTACTGTTCCTTCACCATATTCATAACATTTGGCAAGTTCATACGGGGAATTAGGCACTCCCTTCTCAGCAGCTTGTTTAAGTAATTTAAACCCTTGATCTTTATCGAGATCTGTTCCACGGCCTTTTTGATAACATAAACCCAAGTTATGCATAGCCATTATATTACCTTTATCAGTCGCGTTCTTGAGCAATTTAAATGCTTTAGTATATCTCTGGCATTTATAATAGTAATCACCAAGTATTCGTTCTGCAGCTGCACAGTCTTTTTCAATTGCTTTATTGTACCATTCAATTGCTTTCTTCATATCCTTTTTAGTGTTACGTCCAACTTCATGACACCTTCCAACAAAATATTGAGCAACAATATCTCTTCTATTTGCCGCATCAAGGAATAAATCAAATACATTTACATTACTTTGTTTAATGCCAATGTCCCACATATAAAATATTCCTCGAAGGCAAACATAATTTGGCTCATTTTTAAGATATAACCAATTTAATACATCACTATCTGATTTTCCTTTTTCAGATATGTAATTATTAATTATGTTTGGAACGGATATGCCTTTGTTAAATGATTTACAAAAATTTAAATAAAGATCATTTATAAAGATAATCTTTGGATCTTGTTCATTGATATGAAGTTCTGGAGTTATTGAAATATTTGAAGGTTCGTTGAAGATGGTGTCAACACATTCTTGGCAGCGTTTTTTAAAATCTGATATATCAAAGTCTTCAGGCTTGCTATATGGAATATCTTTATAAAAAGGGTTGAGGATATCGTTTAATAATAGTGACACTTCATTAATAGATGGTCGATCATCTTGCTTATTTTGCCAACATTCTAGATTTAAATAAGAATATTTATAAGAACCTAAATTTATACTGCAAAGCATAAACAGTGCAATTTTATGAACTTACTTTCGAAAATGGAGATATATATATTATGAATACCATCAACTGGTTTCTCTCTTAGACCATCAATTATCAGAACTGGTAGGGTCGCTGGATCATAATGTTCAAATGGTGGTCTTTCACTTGATATTTCCCATAAGAGAACACCAACACTATAAACGTCTGATTTCTTAGTTATATTAGATCTACGAGACTTTCCATCTTGTTCTTTATTTAACACAAAGCATTCAGGAGCAATGTATGGTGCTAATCCAAAAATTCTACTAGTAGTTTTAGACTTTGTTGATACATTGATACGCTGTGATAATCCGAAATCAGCTAATTTTAAAGTTTCTTGATGAATAAGTATATTATTAGAGTGCTTTCAAAATGAAAAGAGAAATAAAATTGATTCTGATTAGCATTCAAGATATTAAGGTGGTTATATAATGACTAAATTACCAGATCTCCGTGAATAACATTAGAACCATGTAACCATTTAACAGCGTCTTTTAAAAATTGAGTAAATAAGTAAAATATTTCTAACCAATTTCATCTACTTTTATATATTTTGAGAATTTTTGATGAACGCATACATACCTACAAGTTGGATTGCAAAATAAATTTTTAAATCCCATTCAATTTTAGTCGCATTCTTTGATAAATAATCACTTAAAGTGCCATTATCTGCATACTCAAGGACAAATGCATATTTGATTTTATCTTCATCCATGTGATCTATTTGTATAACAATAATTATTAAAGTTTAAAAAAATTAAATAATAATTATTAAAATAATTTACCAGTAAATTTAGTAATTCCATAAAATTTAATAATATTCTCATGATGGTCCACTGAAAGAATAATCCGTAACTGCATGTTATAAATAAATATATATTTGTAAATATTTTTAGTATTTATATTATATCTGAAAATCTTGTAAATCTTGTACTATATTACTTACTTCTTTCACAATGTCTTCACTAATATTTGCATTACTTTCAATAATTTTTAATGCATACATTGTCTCAATATTTTCTCTATTAACTACTACCCTCAAAACCGTACTATGAGCTCCAATACCAATCTTTTTAAATTTTTTAAATTCTTCATATTTGTATTCAATAATTTTTCCTTCTTCAATCTTATTGTCAATCCACCTTTCGTGCATGTTAAAAATAGATAATCGATTAAAATAAACTATATTGTTTATTTATAACAGCTTTTGTGTGACATCAGTTTATTATTGCAGAAGTTCATTAATCTGTGCAAATATTAACGTTAATGTTAATTGATGCTATCTCTACTTAACTACAGTATTAGTGTCGTGGGTTAACAAGTGACTCATATAATACTTTTTTTTTATATTAAGGAATGCTTAATGGACAAATTATTATATTTCGAATTTCGTGTACATTTAAAGATTCGGAATTTTTGGTCCGTGTTATGATGGCTTGACCGCATTATGAATACATATAAAAAAATCGGGCCGATCGGTTGTTCCCTTTAATAGCATCCATTTGTAAAAGGTTTTATCGCGATGAGATAGGCTGTTGATTCGTACGACGACGATAATGTATGTTTTCGTGTAACAAATAATGTATACGTACTTAACTGCATAATCTCTATCACATGAACATGTGGTGTATCAATAATCAAAATAAGGCCAATAAGATAAACCAATTTTATTAAAAAAAATGTCTAGTAATACAGCATGAACACATGAAGCTAAATAAAAAAATTTTACTTATTGAACAACTGCAAAGAAACGTGCAATATCGAATTGCAATCATTGCAACGAGAATTTGGATTTATTAAAATTAAATACTATATATACAGTAGCATATTAATCATGGTTAAGGCCTGAAATATGAAATACTTCATAATCTTCTATTCGAAATTCACTATATTTTTGAGATTCATTTTCATTGATTTTGATTGATCTTTCATACGCTATTTCACAGCATCCCCAAATTTTTTCATCACTTCTAGACATATAAAGATCCAAATAGCCAAAAGATGGACCAAAACCTTCTTTACAACAAATTGCGCGTTCCTTATCCTTGACTCTACTAAGTGTAGAATTAAATTGTCCATTTTTTAATGAAAATATAAAACTGCGATGAGTTTCTTTGTATTTCTTTCCTTTAATTTCTTCCCAAGTAAAAGGATTATATCCACCGAGAATCTCTCCTGATTTTTTAACCTTTAAAACAACTACTGTATGAGCTATATCTTTACATTTACTATAAAAGGTGTCTTTCTTATATCCATCTCGACTTGCCCTGAGAATCAATTTGAACTCAAGTTGAGCATTGTGAGGATCAATCCAAGAAAGAATTTCTTTTACATGCTCAGTAGTGATCACAGTTGAAAATTCTTCATTTGATTTAGAAGTTTCGTTAATAGTTTCATGCTCATAAGTTTGTCTTTGAATGGGTTTATCTACGATTAAATTTTTAAATATTGATGACATAGTACTTCGTCTCAATTTAAAGCTATCAGAAGATCGGATAACTTTTAAATTTTCAAGGACTTCCTTTATTTCTGGACGTTTCGTAGGATCTTGATCCCAACAACGTCGATAGAGTTTAACAAAATTATCCGGTGTATCTTTTACGGGAGTTTCTCTGTGTCCCTTAAGCACGTGAAAGATAATTGCTTCCTGACGCTCAAAGTAATCGAAAGGAGGCCTACCACTAGAAATTTCCCAAAGAATTACTCCAAAACTATATATATCAGATCTTTTGTCACATTTATATAGATGATTTACAAAGCATTGAGGTTCTAAATATCCTTTCATTCCACCATAAAACAAGGTTACTTCTTCTATCTGTTTGGATATCCCAAAATCGGCGATCAACATTCGTTGATGATGAACTAAAATATTTTTTGAATGCTATTAAAAAAATAATAATAATAAAGATAAGTCTTAAAATTAATTCAAGATAATTAACATATATATAAAATTTCTTACAAGATCCCGATGAAAAATTCCGTGACTGTGTAAATATGATAAACCCTCAGCAATTTCTTGTGCAAATCGTAGCCTATCTGACCATCTTAATTCTGAAAAGTTCTTTGTTAAGAATTGACGTAAATTACCATACACAGAAAATTGTAAAATTAGGTTATATTGGTTATTTGAGATATCTGGTTTAATTAATTTGATTTATAAAATTAATAAAATTTTAAGAAGTTGACTATTAACTTTTTAGCTACTTAAATACCTTTAGTAACTCCATAAAATTGGATTATATTTGGATGTTTATGTTTATCGACGATAATAAATTTACGAAGCTACACATCAGAAAATAAGAGAATGTTAGGTTTAATTTAGAAAAATAAATAATATATGTGAAAATATTACCTCATTAGCAAACGCTTTAATAAATTTTTCATCGGTATTAGTTTGGTCAGTAACTTCAGGTTTATCAATATTTATGCTTTTAAGAACAATTATTTTATCTCCCAAAGTCGCTTTTCGAACAGTTCCGGATTGACTTCTGCTAATTTCCTTGAAATTGCCAAATAAACTGTAATCATGTTTTATAACTTCGTTTTCTTCATTAAAAACTTTTTCGATCAATCCTCTTGAATCCATAAATCGTTAAACAAAATCCAAAATTTTAAGATCACTTCAATTTTAAACTTAACATGAATTTATTTGTTATATCCGTACATGTTGTACATCATTGGGCATTTTTATAATAAATATGTATGCCAAATCACCCTTCTTATTCCTGATTTGGATTTCATGTGCCAAACTTTAAAGATTTTTGTTTGTTGGTTGCACCTTTTTATTTCCTTTAGAGGATGCTTGTAATATCATGTCACATGATTTTTAATTTATCTGTTTATATTAATAACTAATTCATAAAGCGCCTTTTTGAAGACTAAAGAGTCATTTTTTAAATATAATGGTGATCATATCGGCGGATTTTCAAAGGACCCAAAAATTAAAGGGGTATTGTCCGATTAGTCGGGGTAGAACAGTCATTAGACTCGTTAATAATTAATTATACTATGCATTAGTATTGAAAAATTAGCTACGTAATATTGACTTTGTATAACAATGAAATTTATGATCTTGTTTTTATAGTGATTAATTCCAGATTACTAATCTTTAAATTTATATATTTAATTTCATACTTATAACGAATGATAATTTTACACTTCTAATACAATGGCAGCAAATAATATTAAATGTGATCCATTAGAACTTCATAAATATCCCACAAAGCCTGATATTGAGTACAAAAGCTCATCTATGGGAACCTATCATTATATAATTCTTTCTGTAGGTTATTATCCTTCATCATCCATTCTTGTCAAAAGTCAAAAAAAGAATGCAAATTGTTATCGAATACCTGATAATTATAAAGTTAAAGTTAGTTGGAGGAAAAAAAATAAAGTGTGAGAAATTATTTATACCATTAATTATGGACATCAAGATATGGATAGTGAAGATAATCTAACGAATAAAAAACCTTGCTTCAGAATTGAATATGGTGATAATAACTCACAAGTTATTGAATCTTGAAAAAGTGCAACAAATGCTACAAATTTATTTGCTCATGTAAAAATTTATTAAATATTAATTATTTAATAATTTAATATTAATATTAAAATTTTTATTAAGACATATATCTCCAAAGGAAGATCGCTATTATCAGAAACTATTGTCTTTGAATTGCAGCTTAAATGTGTTGAAGATCATAGAGATCTTTGCCATCAATCACGATTTCTAAAACCAATTGAAATTTCAACTAATACTACACAAAGAAATTGACTCAAAAAAATTGGAAAAACTGTTCAAAATAATTTTAATAACAAAATCTCTTAATTAATTCATCCTAATGATAAAGTGCAATTGAAATCATTTACTCTAGAAGTTAATAATCAAAATTGGATGTTAGAATTCGGAGAAAGAGATTAGATATTAGAGCAAACAAAAAGACAATCATATATTCAAGTAATAGATCAAAGTTATATATCACGTAATTCTTTTCAATCTTTAGCAAAAGTAGTTCCTGAAATTGAGCATGAACATAAAATTAGTGAAGAAAAACTTACTATAGATAAAAATTTTATACCACTTCAAATTATAGATATTGATGTAGATATTTTAAATATAATGACATTTAATGATAAAATCCATATTAATGATGCTGAAGTAATTCAAGGTATTATTAGTTCTGTTGAAAAAGCTAGATATCGAAGTATAAAAAGTATTATACTATATTTATACCATTTCTAATTGAGGAGAATATTTTAAATCAAGATAATCCTTTAATTATGATACAAATATCAGGTAATAGTAAAAATATTGAGCATCAAGCAAAGCATGTAATGGTTACATACACAATTCTTAATGATTCTAATAATCTTTGGAGATCTGATTGATATTACACAGTAGCTCTATATCCAGGAATAGAAGACTATATAATTTTAAAAAAAATTTTAGCACCTTTAATACAAGAATTACATGATATAGTTAATAATGGAATTGTAGATAAATTTGGAACTCTATGGAATGTTGAACTATATTTTCTTCAGATTGGAAATTTCTAGCCTTATGTCTTAGATTAAATGGTGCTAATGCAAAAAACTTTTGCCCATATTGTAAATGTAATAAAAAAGAAATTGGACTATATAATAAAAAGTGTGAAAAAAAGATGATGCACATACTTGCTAGTAATTATACTTTATATTCTAGACATATTCGCCAACCACTTTTTACTATAATTCCACTAGAAAATTGAGTTCCAGATGAACTACACCTAATGCTTAGAATTACTGATTATTTATTGTTAGCAGAAATTCAAATTAATAGCGATATAAGTAGAAAGACTATTTGTGATAAAATGAAACAAATTGGTGTAACTTTTCATTTCTGGCAAAATCATAATTCCAAATTATGGAATTATACATCATTAACAGGCGATAATAAGATTAAAGTACTTCAAAATTTTAATCTTAGTAAGCTTTTTAATCAACAAAGAGCAGCACTTATTAGAACACTTTGAAACAAATTTTATGATCTTTATATATTATTGCTCAATATTACAATAACTAGAGATGAATTTGAATATTATGCAAAAGAGTGGATAGAATTATTTTTAACACCTTTAGTTGGAATAACAAATACATCAAAGTTTATTAAAGGACTTTATAAACCATCTGACATTACTCCTTATATGCATCTTTTTTATAGTCATCTTCCAGATATGATTCATTATCATAATAAACTTGGTCTTCATGCAATTTTTGTCGACCAATTGAAAAGAAAAATCATGAACATGTAATGATTTATTTTAATAGAACATTAAAAGATGAAGGAAATGAAGCACAGCATTTATCAATTATAGAAATATTGCAATATGAAAATAGGTTATTATATTTTATTAAAAATAAAATACCTTTAATTTATAAGAAATCTAAACATATTCGAATTAAATAAACTAATTTATAATAATTAGCTTTATTCTCAAAATAAAAGATTAATTAAATTAATAAATAAATTTAATTAATAAATATGATTATATATTATATAAAAATTACCTTTGAGTTTGATAACTAATAGTATCTATTCAAAATTTCATAATAATAAATCCTGCAGAACTTGTTTGTTGATGTATATCAATTATTTGTTCAATATGCCATTCTACAATCATTTCAGATGATAGTTGTTCATTTTGATAAGTATTTTCTCTGATCTTTAAAGTATCTTGTGTTGACGAATTATACAATACTACATATGCTTTTTGTTTTAAATCATACCATCGTTCACCCCACTCATTATTTTTTAATATCTTTGACAACAATATATTTGCATACTGACCCTTAAAAATACAAATATACTTTTTTTTGCATGGTGAATATTGATGAATCCATGATCCAAATACTCCAACAAACTGGCTTTCACTACATGGAATTTTAATTGATTGCCTTCCGGATTTTTTAAAATTAAGCGATAATTTTTTTTTAATAAAAAATACCAAAGATTCGCGAAATTGCTGTATTGCATCAGGAGGTAAGTATGGAAGATTAGATGGTGGCAAATTGTAGTCTTTATGTTTGTACGTTTCATGTTGATAAAGTCCATTTATGGTTGCAAATCGTTTAACTTGGCATAATGTACATTGATAAGGTTTATCGAATTCTTAATCCATTACTATATCGGATATAAAAAAAAACTTTATATTTATTTAAACTGTATATATAAATAACGATAATATTACATAAACTTTTATATAAAGCAAGAATATTACTAGTTTATTTTTAATAGCTCTACAAATAAGATCAAATGAACAATATTCTATTAAAAAAAAGATACCTTGTATTTTATATGTCTATCACTATGGAATATAATTTACAAATTGATCAAAATAATGAATATAATTAGATCACAAGGCTTTAGCGGATCCTAAAAAAAAAAATTTAGAAAAAAGTAATCAGTTAACAGGTGGGGTAATCAGTTAGACATGAATTTTTATATTAAAATTTTGATTTTTAGGGTACTTTGTAGGACGGACTGATCAATTGACTACATACGCAATAATTATTTGAGGGTCATTACTGCTGAGTTTGTTAGATTTGGGGACATCACGAAGGCCAAATTTGGAAAATCCGCCGATATGTATATCTTTGCGATATATTCGAGCGAAAAACGAATATGAACCCATACGTACGTACTGTATCTCACGTGAAATAAAATTTAAGAAAAATCTTAGTGATAAGTGGTCAATCTCAAAATATGTGCTGATTCTTCTGAATTTTGGACTTTTTCCTCCTCTTTGCATTCTTTTACTATGTATTATTTAAGCACTTTTATATAAAACACAGATATACCACATTCACTGTATTCTCTACGAAGCAAAAAATTAACCACACAAAGACTAACGCTAATAAAAGTTTAATTAATCAGGGATCATCGCACCATACTATTGACAACTGTAAACGGCGAGTCGGTCGCTTGACAATCCGAGGCTTCGTGTAACCTACGATCGGCTTAGTCGAATGGAGGCGTTTAGATTTGGCGAGTGGTGATTTTAATCGTAGGTATATCTTCTTTCTCGTATCGGGAATCCAATAAGACTTAATAACTCTTGTATCTTTCAATCCACAAACACTTCAACAAAAACCACGGTTCGAGTTCTTCACAATAACCCAAAGCCGGAATCGATCAACCACAGAATCCACGGTCCGTCGGGAAACTGGAAAACAACCACAACTATCTTCGGTCCGTCGAGACAGTTGGAAAAATAACAACCACGGAGGCTCTCAGTACGTTGAGAATCAACCGGAAAACAGTCTTATGCGAAGTCACGTAAGCAAGACAATTAGGCGAACGAAGATCTTTCACTATGCCACTTAGTGATCGATCTGGGTAAAAAGTATTTAGTTAGAACGTTATTTATTTAGGGTCTTAAGGGTTTATGGGTCAAGGTGTACTTTATGTTAGGGACGATAATTGTAAGCAGCACGAAACTTATTTTTCGTAGGGCCTTCACGGCCTTTATTTATAATAAAAGATCGAGTATTACATTGAATTCATAAAATGCAAAGAAATGAATTTATCAGTTAAATTGAATAAATGTGATAAATCGGATAAATCGGATAAATTGGATAAATTCATTAAATTCGTTAAATTCGTTAAAATGGATAACTTGGACAATTGCAATAAATTGCACTTGACCCGTGATAGTAGACCGCAGTAGGTGGTTCGGATTTCGGGGCTCACAATAGGTTACACGGTTAATCACGATCAGTGATCGTGTAACATAACAGTTTATTAATCGTTTAACTGGTTAGCCGTTTATTAATCGTCATAATCGTTTAACTGTTTAGTCGTTTAACTATTTATTAATCATAAATCGGTTAATCATACTCATATATCAAAATAATTGTCAAGACATTCAGTATTAGCAACACCAAAAATTTGCGTTCTATATTTTATTTATATTGCATTAGGGAGAGACCATTAATTAGCACGTTTATTTTTATGTCTCTATAATCATTGATGTCATGTCCAATGGTCCAATATCAAAAGTTGGATGTTGGATGTTTAGATTTGGATTTTACTATATGCCCAACGTCCAATTGGACATTGGACGTCACATGACCAGGCCAAGATGTGATTGGACAATATTTGTGTTATCTTTAATAGACTGATAGCCAGTACTGCCGTATTTAATTTCAACCAATCTAAATTTATGGATTATTGCGGAGTCCAAAACTTTTATGTCATAGAATCATGATTGGATATTTGAATTGGACGTCCAATCCAAAGAAGTCCAAGTATCCAATTTGTCCAATGTATATTCCTGTCGGGTAGTTTCAAGAATAGTGAACCCAGTGATCATCACATCACATGATAAATTGTTCAGCCTAAGTTAGGGTTAGTATTAGGGTTAATGTTAGGACTAGGTGATGGTTAGTTTAGGCCAATTTTGTTAGTGCTAGTAAACAAATGACGTAATTGCATAATTTCGCGTGATGTGATGATCAATGGGTTCATCATTCTTGAGGAGTCCCTGGATCATTTAGCACTGACATCTAAAAACTGGTATTCTAAGTCTTCGCTCTTGGTCTATTTTGATGAAGGTCGTAAGGGTTTAAAACTTCAACATATAGTTATTACGAATGTTTAAATCGAAGATCAGTGTATACACTGTAATACTTCTTAGAACGTATGCCTTAAAATCCCTACCCTGTAGGGTAGACCAGGATAGGGTTTGCGTAACGTTCAACGATAATACTATAATGTCTCGAAAGAGGACGTTCGATTTGGCAGAGCCAATATACGTTTAAAGTATATGCTTTATTAAAATTAGAAGATATGCGAGATGCCTTTACAAATGCTAAATGCGTTATGCTTTTATACTATTTTCAAATCTGCTAATTCTATTGAATATGCTAAATCTTTTATGTCTACTACGTATGTCTACTACTTCTACTTCGTCTCCCAAATCTGCTAATATTACCCGATTTGGACATATGCATTCCCAAACAAATATGTACCCGATCTGTCCAAATGCAGTTATAATCGTTGATCCTTTTTGCATTCGTTACTACACATATTCGTAATTGTAACGTACGTACCACAAAACTTCTCATTAGCATTCAACATATAGATATGTAAATTGTATATACGTACGAATTTCGTGCAAGTGTTAAGACACTGACATCTATAACTTTAACTGTTCTTGAAATGTTGGACTATGTAGAACTACCACAGTGCTTCGCTATATCACCTCCGGGAATTTTCAAGATAATCACTAATCTAGTTATTTAAGCCAATGATGATTCACAAATTTATTTTGCAGGCAATCAATTCACAATAAGTTTTAGTTATTTCACGAAATAACGTTTACATCGAAGACCCCTTGTACGTCATTTCGAAATACAGAAATAAGAGTAGATTTTCTAAATCCAATACAGTCAACCTTCATTTATAGAATAATCTACATATAGAATTTGTCGACTGTACATCATCAGCGCTGCTCACTTCATCAACAATAATTTCACCAAAAGTTTACTTAGTCAATATTATATATAGAGTTTCAATCCGGATAATCCAGATCAGATAAACAGATCAGATATCCGGATAACTCCAACAGGCATTCAGATAATTATCTAGATATCCATAGTAAACAATAAATTCAGATCCGGATACTTTGAAAATGGATGTCAGATAATTATCCAGATAAATACTTAATGGATTTGAACTCTAATTACAGTGTTAGAGTTAGCGTTTTATTAGTTGTTACTTGCGTAATGTCGGCTAAGTGAGCTGTCGGTGAAGTAGGCGGATCTGTACAGTAGCCATAAAAGTAACGCCCGATGTTTTTTTTATAGTAAAACATATAAAAAATTGAAATTTACTAACCACATTAAAAAAAAATTTTGATAATAAAAAAATATTAACTTTTATATACTATATAAACTCAATATTTGTATTCTATAATATATGAGTTTCAACGGTCTGAGCAAATTGGATTGATGTTTTTAAAAATTATGAAGTTTACGATTCAAAATTTTATGTAAAGCATATAAAATTTGTAGAATTGACTTTAAAATTAAATTTAAAATTTAAAATTTTAAAATTTTTTTTAAAAAAACTTAACTACAATTATTAATAGCATTACTATTATATTTTATGGGCAATGTAAAATAAAAAATTATTTCTATAAAAAAAAATAAGTTATATATAACAGAAAATTTACAATTCAATTTTACAAAATTTACATAGTAAAAACATAGTAAAAAATCAAAAATTTTAAAATCGTTAAAAATCCAAAGTTTTAATAATAAATATTTTTTTAATTTTATATAACTTGAAAATTTAATATTTATATTTTATGATGTATAATTTTCACCGATGCCAAAAAAGAATTGAGTTTTTTTTTTTAAAAAGGAAAATTTCCTAAAAAGGATTATATATATATTTTACTATAAAATTTAAAATTGATCTTCAGGAGTTACTTTTGGTGACTACAGTACATAGGGTTGGTAAAGGTTCTAGGTTTGAAAACTAAGACCTAGTTTTTGGAACGTAGTTTTTAAAAACCAGGTTCTAATTTTGAAACCTAGGTTTTTAGGCTTATAATAGGTTTTTAGGTTCATAGTAGGTTCTTAGGTTCTTAGGCTCTTAGACTTGTTTTTAAAATTATTTAATATAATGAATATAATAACATAATAAATAAAAGATAACTAACTAACTAAAGAGCCAATTAATAACTTATAGTATCAATACAAAAATATAAATTAATTCATGATCCGTATAAGAACCAGTGACAAAACAGTAAAAAGTGGAAATATATTTACTATATAAAGTTTGCCTTTTTTAAAATTTGGAGTTTCTCAAAGAAGGTGTTTTTTCTTTACTAAGTAAACATCTTTTCAAGCTCTAAGTAAAGTTGTAGAGGAATGTCATGCGATCAAAATGACAGTTAAATCATTAAAATCGGCCTAATGAATCGGAAGATATAAGTACTTTAGTCTTTGCGACTATATGTTTTCTTCTTTATAAATAAAGAAGAAAACATAAAGTCGCGAAGACTAAAGTACTTATATATCGTGATCCATTGAGCCGATTTTAACGATTTAACTGTCATTTTGATCGCAAGTCACTCCTCTACAGCTTTTACTTAGTAAGAAAAAACTTTTTCTTTGGATGCGGATCATGAATTAATTTTATATTTTGAAGGAACTAGGTTTAGGAGCCAGGTTTTGGAACTTTTTAAAAACCAGGTTCTTAGGTTTTTTGAAATAGAAACAAAACAAAAACCAAACCTAACCATCCCTAACTGTACATCATTATCGAATAATAAATTATGTGCTACATTAGGATGCGTGTTAATTCAGTTACTTTTGAAGAATACGATTTTCAGAATAATGTCACGAGTGTTATTTCGCGCTTATACGATAAATAGCTTATTGCACCTGATAATTTATTCACAAAAAGATTTTTCAATTAATCCAAATGACGATGGCTAGAATTACAAATTGTTTATGAAATGAACTATTGATAATGAACTATTGATAAAAAATAAAGTGTTCATGAATTAAATTTGTCTATGAATTGGTTGTTTGTAAAAAATAAACTTGTCTATGGATTAATTACCGGTGAATATGGTAATTATCTGCAGAGCTACGAAGTGAGGCGCACAGTTGATTCTAGCTAATAAAAATACAATCTATATGCTCGATGTTCTTCAATTATGTTGATGATACTGCTTATCAGTCTATTAGTGTTACAATTTATGCTTTATTTAAATTAGCATCGTAACTGTTAAAG